ACCAATTACCAAGGCAAACGCGGCGCCCGCCCACCCATTATCGAACTTCATTTTTTCGGGGCCCACCCAGCTTAATTTAATATGATCGATACAATCAGAGCCGTTGATTTATTTAAAGCACGGGGAGTATATTTTATTTGTTTATTTGCTTTATTTTGGTGTCAGCTTTTCTTTTACAAAAAGTCAAATAGGAAGGCTTTCGTTTTTATTGAAGCAGAATGTTTCCTTTTTTCTTTTTTTTTCCAAAGTTCATATTTACTAGAATCATTTTGCTTTAGAAGAGTATTTGTTAGTAAGATTTTGAGTTTAATAAATTTTATCAATTTCCTTGATGAAAAAATTTATTATTTACATAATTTCATGTTATATTAACAATATCATACAAAAAACAACAATCTCTAAAAGGATATTTTAGTGCAACATAGTTATTGAAATTTATTTAAAATTTGCAGTTATGCACAAAACACAAACAGAATTAACTGAATAAAATGAAAATTCATGAAAAGCAAATTTAAATTACAAGAAAATTGAAGGATTCCAAGGCTGATGCCAGTTAAGTCCAACCAATGATTTATTATACTTTGTTTCCGGACATTAACTAGTACATATTCCTTACTACTCCTCTGGATTCTCTTTTTCTTTCTTTCTTTTTTTTTCTTAAATATGAAGAATGGAGCAAATTCTGTCTCTTGACCTTGGATCAAGAAAGCAAATCTTAGATTGTTTTCCTGACCTTTTATTTTATTGTTTAAATAGTACTAAGCTGTAAAATAAAAATAAAAATAATGTGAAGACACTCCAATTTAATGATAAGTGTTATATAATATAAAATAATTCACAATATTTTTTTCGTTTTTTTTGGTTTTAATGGAAAAAAAGCGGCATGGACTTCACATCATTCAAGGTCAAAAGCACTCCAACTTGGACTAGGTCAACAACGAAAGATCAGATTATGCATGTGCTTACCTAATTATATGAATGAAGAAACCGGTGGTCCAAAATGACAACGTTAAAAACCTGCTACAAAATACAACTACCATGGCATTGACAAAAGGAGGAGAAAAAAGAACCGGCAGATGCACTTTGTCATCTATTCAAGTTGAGTAAATTCCTGATCAGTTTATAAACAAATATACAGAAAGATTAAAAAATAAGAAGGGAAGAGCAAGTTTGTTAATATTTTTCAATTGCTACTTTGTACATACGGATCGACGGGGCTCATTTCTTGGGGAGCTTCTACATACAGAGCCAGAATTCTACTGTCTTAACGCATGTAGACTCAGGTCAACAAAACTTGGAAGGCACAAGTTTTACGTTAAGTGTAAAACTCCTGCTTTTGATCAATGATTCTCTAAAACCAAAACAAGGCGAAGATTACGAACCTCCATGCCAATTTAAGAACCTCAAGATGCGGATTCTCGAGCTTCCACTGCTGGCGTTGAATCTTTCTTGTCAAACCCAAAAAACGAGCAATTTTGAAATGCATCCAGACTGCTGGCTATTAGCCGGTTCAACCCTCCAAGGCTATCACTTAAAATCAAATCTTCACTATGATATTTAGAAGATGGCATATCAAGATCTAGTGGTCCTAAAGAGTCGGGCTGCAATGTTGAGAACATGAGATTATTATGAATCATGCAGGTGATTGTGCTAAAGAAAAGGTGAAAGTAGTATCATGTTTTACCAATACTAAATGACATAAAAATCCTAAATTTGATGTTGCTTTGCGAGTGGACCAAAAGTGTATCTAGAACATGAACTTACAAGGTCATGGGTTTGGAAAGGATAAGAAATTAACATACCCAATACATATCGGTTAGCCCATTGAAATCTTTAGCAGAATTGTCCAGAATGTGTGGATCGAATGGATCCTCATCAATGGGACCTTCATGACTAGAATTTTCTATAGGCTCCACTGCATCATGTAGGCCCTGTGAAAGACATTGTCAAAGTGTCATCATACCTAGTTTCACTTTGCCTGAAATTTTGTCTGAACACAAAATGAGTATCAAGTATAAATACCTCAACAAGGTTGCCAGAACCCACTGAGTTTGTTTGTGCAATCTGATTGCATGCCCCAGGGGAAGCAACAGTGGAAAATTTATGAACCTCTGGACAAGTAGGGTTCTTCTGAAATGAGAAGGCATCACAAGTTTCTTCAGCATCCAAGATAGACAATGCATGAGATTCCAAAATAGGAGTTTCCACCCGCTCATCATGTCTAGATATATGGGCAGCAATGGCTGCATCAAATGAATCACAGCTGAATGGAATCAGCTGGAGACATTGAGAACCTTCGGCAACAGCTGTATCCACACAGTTAGCATCTATATCATCAGGCACTTCCGAAAGTAAATCTCCAACACTTATGTTTGTAAAGCTATCAGCCCACTCCCCAACAGATGATAAGATACTGCAGCTTAATCTTTGATCATCCTGTACATCATATAGAAGAGATGCAAGCTCAGAAACAGTGAAGGGAGACAATGAGGGGCAATTGTGCTAAGAGACTTCAGGTTTCAATATTAGCTATTGATTTGTCTTGAGTCATTAATTAGTTGATACCATTTTAAATCCTTATGTTGCCAGAATTTGAGGGGCTATAAATTATAAAAGCATGTAGAAAGACTCAAAAATCCATAACAGATTCAAGCTCTTAGAGAGAGGAGAAAAAAACTTACTGCTTCTTCCAAGTGTCTCATGACATCACCATTAACTGTCTCAATTCTATGCAATGGTTCACTTGTAGTGGGAACTGAGGTATTCCCAACGTTATTTTTAGGACTGGTGCCAAGTTGCTTACCCGTCTCATTGGGTAAACTGGGTAAAGCTGGTTCTACAGATGGAGTTTCTTTCACTGGCATTAGATCCACAAGTTTCTCAGACTGATCACCAGTGCATGGAACAGATGTGGTATGCCCTTTCCGCCTTTCAACATTCATAATGTGCACATTTGGAATGTTAGAAGAAGGGAAAGGTGCTTGCCATGTTAGAGATGCAAGTGCAGCATTGGAGAACCAACCATACCTGCAGCAAAAAATATAACATTTCAGCAATTGTGTTAAGATTTAATTCAGAAACTGCCATCAAGTTCAAAAGATATTGGAGACCTTAAGCGGAATATTGAAGGGCTTCCAATCATTGCATATACATCTGCTGCATTGGCAGCAGAGGCCTGAGTCCATCTCTGATAAACTATCAAGTTTTCCCTTTGAACACTGTAAGGGAAAAGCATAAGCTCCCCTGAGGCTACACTTGAATTGCCCCATTTGCGATTTAGATGTTCCAACACTGATGATATCTTTTTTCGAGTACTCAGAGTGAGTTCCAGGTGTGGATTGTGTTTATCCTGTGAACAGAGAAAGGTCCAATCATATCCTTAACATTGAGCAGCTGCTAAAACTTCATGGAACATCAAAATCAACATAATTTTCTTTGGGCTCTCACCATTTCTAAGGCTCTTCTAGTGCCATCATCAATTGGAAACAATTGAAGTTTAAGTTTCCCTGTAGCAGCATGCACGTTGTTGTCAACAAATGGATTTTGGGACAAATTGGGCAATAAGGGCTGGACACTTTCAACTTGGTCAAGAACATGTTGCCCTGGAATTAACATGTAGACAAACATGTTTTTCAATAATTTCAAATGTCAATTCTAGTATCAGTTCCTTTTAGAGGCATAATTGATGCTCAACCTGACCTGGTTTATCTTGATCATTTTCAATATCTTTATCATAAGTGGTTCTCTCCAAATGTTCAGCAGCATCAGCAACTAAAGAAACCCCAGCTATTGCAGCCTTTTCCCATTTTTTATATGCAGCTGATGAGGCACCTGATGATACAAAGTTTCATAGTGTGGATTGTTGACAGATTAGAACTATGGCAATCCTCACATTTTAAAAGTAAAACTCAATTCACTATTAATATAAGCAAGAACCATGAGCATTTTTTTTTTTTTTTTTGGGGGGGGGAGGGAGAAGGGGGTTGTCATTGCCTCAATGGTGCTAAGTTTTACAGCTTAATATCTGTGAAAATTCCTAGCACAAGTCACCAAAAATACAATGACTACTTACACAGGTGGATTATCCACTACACTGCATCCCTATCATGACATAACATCAGCAATCAAACCAAATTGCAAATTAATCCAAGAGCTTGTCAAAAATAATGATTAAATTAGATGGAATTTGAGATTAGCATCAAATGCATTTTAGCATGGGAAATAAAAGCCATTGATTCACATCTCAACTATTATAACCCTAAATATTTAGGCAAGTTACATTAATGTCTTACCCAATTCCATCCAATCAAGCACCACAGTCTCCTGCAGATCTAAAAAGGTCAAGTCCTTTCTAGCTATTTTGAGCCACGTCATCCTTGGCCTAACTCTACCCCTCTTAATTGCTTCTACATGATTCTATCATGGTATCACAAGGTACACATTGCATACAACGAATCCACCACATTTAGGAAATTAATAGCTAAATGATGTGAAGCTGAGACTATTCTTATAGCTCCTTCCCTGTGGCTCAACAATAGAGATCTAGGAGATCTAACAAGTGTGGCAGAAGAAGAAGAATATAATACAGAATCAAAATATGTAAATGTTGTCCAATGAATCTAACCACACAACATCAGCAGAAAAATGAGACATCCTCCAAGAAAATAATAATATTTCTGAAAGAAAATTAGAAAAAAAAAGGAAGAGAAGAATTACCTGACTTTCGTCTTTGCCTTGCAGGTTTCATGGTAGTTGACTCCCCTTTGATGTTGCTCCGGCTGACACCAATATTGGCATTCCGCTTAAATGAACCTTTTCCAGGTCCTAATTTTTGAATGTTTTGACTGTCTACAAAAACCAGTTTAACAGAGCGAGCATCATGTCCTGACAATCTACCCTGATTTGAGATGGTATTTGGAGATGCAGGTGAACAGTTTTCATTCTGAGAAGGCCGTTTTCTGATGTTCTTCTTCCGGTCTTTCAAAAGTTGATGCTCCTACATGGGAAGGACAAATCAGTCAACACAGTACATGCTAAGGATTTCAAATTCATAGATGGAAAGATTTTATTAGAATAAGAAACAAGGTAGCACAGACTAACCAATGCTTCCACAAATATTTTAAATCTGCGAGGTTTTAGATGAAGCTTTGAGGCTCTGCAGCTATACTTTTCCAATAAAGACCACCTGTAAAACATGTCAGGCAATTTTGAAAGTGAATAGAACAAACAGTAAACCCTTAATCGATTCAAGAATCCATTACGCTATATGCTCAATAATGGATTCCAATATACGGAAGATGTTCATGCAATAAACCCTCAAATGGAAAGAGAATTGCAAATTCCATTGTGGTTATAGGCCCAACAAATTCAAAGGATCTAGCAACTTAATCAAAAGTGTGTTTCACTAGACATGCTTCACACCAGTGACATGAATTCCCTCTTAAGATATTCAGGGTAAATTAAACATTACCTTTGCCACCCACAAAAACATTGACCTAACAAAAGTATAATGTAAAAAGAACACCTCATCAAAGACGTTACCATCGAAGCATTGCAGCATTAGTATCTTTAGAATTTTTGGCATCCAAACATAAACCTGGACCCAATAGCTTGTTCATGCGCCTCACAAGACGATAATAATAATGTCTGACCTGCAAATTAAGAAAGGAAAAGAAACATCATAATATTAACAAGAGTTATATTGTAAAGTATTAACTTTCTCAATATTTATTGGAGATTCTATGGAGACAATCAAAGAAAGAATTGACAGAATCAAAGACAAAATCTAGATCTGTATCTTTCCCAATAAGTTAAGCTGAAAACAACCAATCCATGTATAGTTAGAAACTCACCTGATCCTTGTTTTTACTTTGGACCCGACAAGTGATCTTCTCAAAATTCTGCAATCAAGGCATGTGTTAGGAAAAATCATTATAGCAAGTAAATAAAATTTCAAAACACACATCTAAATAACATGCCTTCCCAACTTGCCGTAATGCCATGAAGAAACTTTCCTCCTCTTGACGTGTCCAAGCAGCCCATTGCCGTGTTGGTTTTTTAGCTGCATTTCACATATATAAATCCATTTAAGGAACAAGTGTAATAGAGAGCATATTAACTCATCAACTCAAGAACATTGATACAAAATTTGTTCAGGATGGTTAACTGAATCAGTTTTCTCCATGTTGTTCAACCAAAAATCAGGTTCTTAGTTATATCTAAAAGAGTTAAGTCCTTTCTTACCATATATGGTGCACTGATTGATGCAACTGAAAATAATAAGAAGTTTACAAGCACAAATGACATACCAGGCCGCTCAGATGAGACATTATTCAATGTGGATGAAACTACACCAGGATCACCACTTTGAGTTGGAATACTCTCCTGATTGAAGTCTGTGACTTGTGCCTTAGGGGCAAAAGAAACCTCTGACTCTGTCTGCATGTTGAAGACATCACAAGAACACTAATACCTCATCCCTTTGACTTTCGACACAGTCCAAATCCAAATGCAGCAAACCTGGATGCTACAATGGAAAATAAGCTCAAATATCCAGAAGAGTGATGAAAAAGAGAAACATAAAACATAAAGAAATATGATTCTTTTGTAATTACATGCCAATCTAATCATAGTAGACAAGTTTACGAGCACAAGTAAACATACTCGTGCACAAACATCCCCCTACCTAGAAAATTGTATATAGTTCTACATTAGAGTTAATATCAATTAAAAACTTCAGCTTGAAAATTCAAGACCTTACAAACTATATAGAATTACAAGACAAGATCAGCTGCCCCTACTATCCACTGTATCACCGTAGGATGCTGATCTTCATAAGGTTTTACAGAAAGCAAAGCTGAAGGCAAGCCATGTCCATATAAATCTAGCTTTACAACTTTGCTTTTAAGGACCAGAAACTTTGTTCACTAGGTAAAAACAGATTGATGCAATATTCACCAAAAATATATATATTTCTTTGAGTTCTTCAGAAGATCAAACTTCAAATTACAAGAAAGAACCAATCTTTAAATATCTAGGGCAGAAGCCGAGAACATGATTTCACAGGAAAGAAAAGAACCAAACCATATATTCATGTTTATCATAAATCAGCAATCCTATTAACATCATCAATCCTTAAACAATGTCACCAACAAACCCTAAAACCAGCAAACTTCACCTCCAAAACTCACAATTACAATCATATTTAGCAAAGCAAAGAAGTCATCATAACTTTCAACAGCCTCAAAACTTAACCCAAATAAAAAAAATGACCTCTTTACGGATACTATGAAAATGTATCAAATTTTGATACATCACGATCCCGAATCTAATTTTTTTTCGAGTGCATGAGATTCTAAAGAGCAAAACCACAAGTCAACTTTGATTCATACAATTAATAGACTAGAATTTCCATTTTTATCTTCTAAAGTCCAGCAAATAAACAATCAAAATTTTAACAAATCAGAATTTCCCTTCCTTTAATTTTTGCCCCCTATTTTCCTCGAAGCCAAACATGAGTTAGGGTTTCAAACTACAGTAGGCTGTATCACCTCAAGCTTCAAAAAAAAAAAAAAAAAGAGAATGAAACTAAAGTCAGTTCAAAATACCTGAAAGGTGAACAGATTCCGAAGAGCAATGGAACCCTAGAACCGAACGGACAATCTCAGAAATCAGCTGGAAACAGAAATCGGTGACAATCGGAGAGATTCTTCCGACAAACGTTTATACGGTCAGGGGTAAGGAAAAAAAACATGGAAATTTCTGTTTATTTTTGTTTTTTAGGTTTTTACTTTGAACAAAAGAAAAGTAAAACCAAAGGATGTTCTTAGTATCAGAAGATTATGGTAAAAATTAAATGAAAAGAGAAAAAGAAGCCACCATAAATAAACCGACCTAATTTCCATCCCACGTTTATGTCCACGTTAGGGTAAATATTAAAAGTGAAAGATGTTCAATCATGGTTTACTTTAGTAACAAAAAGTGTTTATAAAATAAAATTATTTTGTTTATTTCCCCATTTCAAAATTAAAGTTTTATATTCAAATAGTAATAAAATTTGCAAAAATTACAAAACTTAAATTAGTAGATAAGAAGGTATTTAAAAACACTTATTCTATATTCATAATGTATCGATTTTTTAAAAGAGTTTTTAGTTGATTTTGTTGAAAGTTAAAAGACAAATTTGTCATTCTCATGTAGTTATGGGCATGAGATTGGAGGATTGGGATTTATGGAGAGTACGCGGAGAGGTCCCACTCCTTCATTTTGAAGCAATTAACTCATAATTAAATATGAAGCCTAGAGAAAGACATAAAATCATATTGCCAATAAGAAGAAGGAATTTTTGAATACATTCATTTCGTGTTGCATGCGTCCATGTGAGTCAAATTCAGTGTCTGTGAAAATGTTTTTTGTCTGTTGAGGATGATGATATCTGTTTACTTTTGACTGGGGAAAAAAGAGGGTCACAGTGACCACAGAGGTTTGAAGGGAAAAGTTGAGCAGATCATCATGAGATTTTGAGTTTACAAAATTGAAATCCAAGATGGGTTTAACTCATTCTAAAAAGTTGAGACTCCTGCTAAAAACCCCCCTTTTTATTTTGGCCTTCCTGTTAAAAATTTCAAAAGGAAGTATAAAGAAAAGGAAAATACAGCTATGTTCATCTTGTTAATTTCCAATATTATATATGTTAGAGAATCATTCTCAACTTTGGCAGGGGTGTTTGTGATGCTGCAGCTTCTCATGATATTACTATTTTTCAGCAAGTCATGGTCAATTGCTTCACATTAAATTTTAAGGTTAAAATACTAATTTAGTCCTTTAAGTTTTAGATTTATATTAAAATCATTTTTTAATTTTAAAAAAATACTAAAGTTATCCTTAAATTTTAATTTTTGGAAACAAAATAATCTTCTCATTAACAAAAATATCATGTGATTTGTTATTTTATTACAAAATCAATTCCTTTTTAAAATACTAATGGTGTGTAAAATCAAATAATTATATTTTATCATTATGACATATTTTTATTATTAACATGTAATCAAATTTAAAAGATTAAATTAGTATTTGTAATCAAAATTTAAAAATTCAATTGATACTTATCTTCAAAATTCAAGAATTAAGTTGGTATTTGTCTTTGAAGTTCAAAGACTATTTTTTACCCAAAATTAAAATTTAGGATAATTTTGATATTTTTTGAAGTTAAAGGATAATTTCAACATAAATTTAAAAGCTAAAGGACCAAATTAATATTTTAACCAAAATTTAATAACGGTTCCAGACTTGTTTTCAATGCTTCTGTTCGGAATTCAATCGTTAAAGAGCATCACCCTCATCAACTTTTTTTTTTTTCCTTTAGAAAACAATCAATACCATTTTTGCACAACTTACGTTTCTCTTCCCAATTTTTATGTGTTTCAAAAATAGTACATCTTTAAATAATCTTAAAGGAATATTTTATGTAACAAACTTAACTTTAAACTTTAAGTACAAAATAATCTTTACTTGCATGTAAGATATAAAATTTACCTTTTTTTAAAAAAAAAACTTTAAGCATGCAAATTTTTTTGAATTTTAAATTAAATGGTAAATTTTTATTTTTTAAAAATAAAGATACAAATATCACGTTTTTCTTATTTAAGAATCTATTAAATAGTATTGATTATGTAACAAACAACAATTTTAATCAAAATAGGAAAATGATATGACAAAGAACAACTTTAATCCAAATAGAGCAAAGTTTATTTTATCAGCTGTTCTTTATTACTTGTATGACATCTTCACAATTAGATTCCATTCCCCTCATCATTAGTCTTCATGATCGAATTTCATACAGGTGAGGATTTGCTTATTGATTTGAGATGTCTCAAGATGAAGGCAGCCCTTTCATTTAACAAACTGAATCTTAAGATTGAGGTTTGTTTCCTTTTTATGTGCCTTTCCTCTTTCTGAACGCAACCTGGCTTTATATGAATAAGCATGTCTTATGTGTACATTTATTCCTTTTTTTTTCATTTTTTTTTTGCAGTTTTCCTTCACTGCAGGTTGTCATGATGATAGCTGATGGTTAGAGATTCAATGGCTGTGTATGAATAAACATGTCCTCCTGTTATCTCTGCCTTTGTCCCATTTTCGCAGTTTCCCTTTTATTGTTTATTGTAGGATGACAGGATAACAATCTATCAGATTACATTCAATGCAGTGGAATTATGAAGGCAGCCTGATTACATTCCAAAAAATAAGTCAGCATCAGTTTACATTCCATGTCAAGGGAATCCATATTAACGTTGCAACGTGTGGCCTTTGCTAGAAGATTTGAATTAGGCCACACTAAGTCTCTATTTTTCAATATTTTTTGTTTACCATTTTTGCCTTAGCTGGTTATCATCGTGTATTACATTTTTATTAATCCAACAAAACATGGTACCAGTTTGCTTCCTGGATCCATGATTAAGCAGCTTTAAACCAGAGATGCACTTTCTTGGCATATGGAACCACCTTTCAAGTAGACTCAAATCATAAGGTCAGCTTATTTTATGCGTTGAGTATCATGTTAATAAAATGGTCTGTGCTTCTTTGATGCTACATAGACATTACAGGCAACTTTACATTAAATTTTCGAAATTTCTGATATTAATGAAGTATGAAAATCTGCAGTCTGTATTTAATACAGAGATCAACTGGTTTATTAAACGAACTGGCCGAGCTAGGCTGATAAAGCAATTTAGCCTATCAAATTTTAATCACTACGTTCCAGATTTCAAGTGAAGTGGCCTTCTTCACCTCAGTCTGTGATTCAATCCATACACAGAATACTCTCATCCATGGGGTTGGGCTTAGCTGTCTGCGTCTTTGGAATTCTGATTCTCAGTCAGTCACACCACCCATCAGATACCCTTCTCTGCTAAATCTATGGTCAAATTGTTTCTCAACTCTGCAAAACCTGTTCTCCAAGATTTTTCTTTGGTGGAGAGATAGAGAGAGGCCTGCTCTTGGTAGGGGGCAGGTACTAAAATTATTACTATACTATATCAGTGCTCATTCAATTGGTATTCATTTAGAGGAACCCTTCAACTGGTTTGTTTTACTCAAACATTGTTTAGCAATTTTCACTCAAGTACTAAAGAAGTTTCGAAAGGTTTAATAGGCTTGTAGAGTTGGATAGATGGACCATTGGACCATAGACGTGTGTCCTCTTTTGCTTCAGCTAGTTTTTGTGCCTTAGTCATTACTAATCAATCGTAATCAAAACACTTCGTGTCTTGACTAGAACGCTTGTGGGTTCGAGAGCCATTGAGTCGCTGACTGAACTATGGAAGAAACTGGAAAATTTAGTTTATCACTATTATAAGTTAAATGCCCTTTTCTAGAAATGAAAGCACTACTTGTTTGGTTGTTTGCCTGTTACTATATAGAGAGGATAGTAGCTTTTATGAGACTCTTACCCTGATAATTATTTAAATTTGGATGCTTTCATCTCTTGAGCTTTTCCCAAATGAGACTTGAGCTTTGTGTTACAGCACCATTTCAATAACTAACTGTGCATTTACATTTGATCATTCTGTAACTTCCTTGCATGTGACAAAGGCAAATCATGTTGTTCAATTGGATTTATATATTTTCTGGTTAGGAATGCAGGATTTATATATTTCGGATTTCATGATCTTCAACCCTTGTGCCAAAGTGTTGACATTGAAGAATCTCTGTGGAGCTACTGATGTTTCTACCTTCGGGAGATCAGGTTTAGATGGAAGAGGATTCTTTGTTACCTCGTCTTGACTTGTGATTGGATATGTAGTTTGGTTACAGATGTTTCTAGCTTCTAATTTGTGCGGCGAAACTTCATGTCATACAAACGGCTAAGCCCTCGATTTCTCTCAACTAGACAAAATAAGTCTTTGAAATTAATATAGTCAAAATTTTGAATTGCCATTCTCGTTTACCTCTCAACTGGAGGAAATAACATGCAGGTTATTTTGACTAAAACGGACATAAGCTTCATTCGAAGAATTAATTTTGACTAAATTTACATCATAATAAGCCACATTCGTATTAAATGAGGAATACATATAACTCCACATTTCAAATTTATATAATTGACTCTTTTCGATCATGTGACAAAATAATGAGACATTGTAACTATATCATTTTTTATCCATGCAAAAAAACCATACAAAAGAACCATCCATAGCTCACTAAAGTAATGAGATTAATGGGGCCTAAAGTAATGAGATTAATGAGAATTACAATATCCATGGTACATTATGACTGGTTGAGATCCACAGGATTTTCAATAGATTGCCTAAGAACAAACTCAGCTCTTCTCCTTTTGTCATCCCTCTCATCATCCCGTAAAAATATTACTGCTTTTCCACCATTCTTCTTCAATAGATTCAAATCCAATGATTCACCCACAAGTTCCTTGCCGGTTCTGAACTTAAAATTAACAGCATGCCTCCTATGTGGAAGCAGCTGCTGCTCATCTTTGAGTGCTTCAATTGCAGTAGCAAATGCCTCAAGAACAGAAACTTCATCAACCTTCATCACCTCATCGGAAAACTTTGCTGGCAAAACAATCTGAGAAACGTCTTTCTTCCCGGGCTGCAAAGGCATGGCAAGAAAAGGGTTGGTTCCAGTTCCTTGATGTTCATCCTTTTCATCATCTGGAGCCTCCAAAACTGAACTTATTGTTGAACCATTACACAACAGTCTTTGCTGCAAACTCAACAAAGCTCTCTCTGCCTTTCTTCGCTGCTTTGCTTGCACAATCTTATCCTCACGGGGATTTGACGCCCTCTCATTCCACAGAGGCGTGTGAACGTAAGTGTGAACATCTGGAAGAGCTGGCAACCAAGTAGGGATATGTTTACCAGGTGGGGTTTCACCCATCTTTTCGAAAGAAGGGATCATCTTCCTATCCCTAATAACCGGAAAACATGACACAGGTTGAGCAAAAGGAATTTCCTCTGTAGAACTGAAGAACTCAATCATCTCCCTCACCTTGCCTGAACCTACAGCACAATTGGCAACCTCTGATGTGTCTGAAAATCCTTGTGGAACTCCGAAATCTTCAAAACCGCGAACTATATCAAAAAGATTGCATTCTGTCCTACCAGCTAAACTAGCATAAGAACTTGCAGTCTTCCCCAAGTCACAAAGGTATTTAATTGCAATATCAGAGAGGGCTTCCAAAGCAGACCCTTTGAAGCCCTGATACCCCACCCTCTCACATATCTGTGCCACAGCAATCTTGGACACTTCCCGGCCAAAGTCGTCTGCTTTAGCTTTTGCCGGTGACAAATTTTGCTCACCATCCCTCTCTTTTCTACTCTTCACACCTCCATCGCTCATATTCAAAATTTCATATCAAAATTGGGTTTTTTCAGATTCCCTCATCATTCACCCCCATGAATACTAAAAACTCATTGAATATTAATTGTTACCCCGCCTGTTTGTTGACGAAACGAAAGAATGAAGGAATTTTCGTTTTATTCATCCCCAAACTAGATGAGGAACTATGAAACCCTAGATTGAATTCACATCTAAAAAAACGAAATTACTGCATAACGAACAAGAATGGAGAGACAAAGGACAAATTTTGCGTCCTTACCAGAAATTCAAGAACCCGAATTAATCTCAAGACAAGCAGAAACCAAGCTGGGACCGAAGAAACTAAACCAAATCTCAGAGTCTCAATTAAACCCTAGAAAGAAGAAAAATTTAGGATTTTGATAGTTTCTAAATTTGAACCTTCAGAGGATTTGGAGGGAAATCAGACAAATTTGAAAAAAAACCCTAATTAGAAGAGGATCAAGGTAGACGAAGAATTACAGAGAAGGTGAGGCCAATGCACTGAAGAATAAACGGGATTAGTTTATAGAACCTGTAACTCGCTGGGGCTCGGCCTAGCCCAATTCTTTTGGGCCTGAAAATCCAGTGGGCTTTTAATCTGAGTGGACACGTGTCACTTTCTGGATAAGGTTAAGAAAAATGGTTTTTATCTTGTTGTTCTGTGAAGTGGAGAGAGACTGCAGAGGAGAAAGGGAGGGGAGAAGCTATGGATAAGTTCTTTGCGAGTGCTTACAAAGGAGACCCGGGAGTGCCGCATTCGGGGCCTCAACCGTTCGTCAACATGTGGATCGGGACGGCGCTGTTCTCCGTCATGACATGGATCAATCCCTATTTCTGGCAGCTCAGTACTCAATTCAAGTAATTTCCTTTTTTGAAGTTTAGGTTTTTATATGACTTGGAGAATTTTCATTTCTGTGTTATAATTTTTTAGATTAGGATTAATGCTTTGGTGGGTTTTGTTTTTCTTGTAAAAAGATTGGATCTTGTTGCTGTTTAAGTATAGTTTAATCTGAATAGGGTTATGTTTTGATGGTTGTATTGTTTTATTACATTTAAAAGTTTTTTTTTCTGATTTTGAACTGAAAATTGTAGAATGATTAATCTGGGAAGGCTTTATATTCTTTTTCAGGGATTATTTTCCTCAAATTGGTTGTTTTCTGCAATACTGCAACAGTTTCTTGTTATTGTTATTCCACCTTAAAATATCACTATATTCTAAACAAATAGAGGCTTAAGTATCGAGTGTATTGATGGTTCTTTTAGCAAGTTCCTTTCTTGGATTATCCAGTTTGTCTTTGGCCTTTGATCCTCACCCTTTGTTAACAATGTGTTTGGGATTTTGCTTCTGGTTGATCCAAGTGAGAACAACCAAGCAAGTATAATGCACATCTAAATATTTTTTAATTGAGTGGGAAATGTTCTGTTGTGTTTGCAAGACAACATGATATGGGGTTTCCTTCCTGACTATCCTTGGGAGGTTCTTAAATGTTTATGGAAATTTGTTAACCCCTCACTGGGTCTATACAAGTAAAATGCAACTAGTCATATGTGAAAATTAACTTGGTCATCCTTTTCAAAGTGTCAGAGAAGAAAAGGGATATGTGCTGTGATGTTTTACTGTATATATGATGCTTATGTGCTAGATTCTGTTCTGTCATTCTTGCTTGCAGAGAGAGAGCATGGGGGGGTTGGAGTTATGCTTTCCTCTTCGTTTATATCACATGATCAGGTTTTTCCTATTTGTTGTATCATGATTTGAAATATTTTTGCAGCTGGCATGATAAAGCATTTCTATTTGAACAATACCATTGGAAGAAAGCAAGGGCAAAGAAACAGCCATATAAATTTAAGGTTTGATTGACTTGACTTCTTGTTAAGAATAAAAAAGTTTATGGAATCTGTTTCAGATAGCTTATATCAAGTGCACATATCCATGTCCTCATGAAATCTTTTCTTTTGTCTTTTACAGTGGAATCAGCAGGACAGGCAAATCAGGGACTCATATTATAATAACTGGGCCGACTACTTTCCTTAGATTTATCTTTTCCATTGTCATGCTTTCTGATACATAGTATGAGCAAGGAGACTTGTCCTGGAGATATTTCACTCTTTTATTTCTCTTCCCATCCTAGCTATGCATTCTGTTATCTTTCCTATTGCATTTTGGTTGATTTAAAGAGTTAAACACTGGCAGGATCTTTTGCTTGTCAGTATTTCTTACAATGCCAATGAGCAGTGTGTTACTACTTATGCATGCCCTGTATTTTCAAAAATCGTAATATGATGATTTGCTATTGAATATGCAGAGTGTTACTTCTTATGCCTTCCGCGTAATAGTAGGATCATTGTTTGTCCCAGAAATCAGTGGGGTAGGGTTCAGCTCAGCTTGTTTGGTTTGCAATTTTTGAGAGAAACTGCTACCTCAGGAAACTACACACCAAACATGTCCTCTAGTTCATGAATAAAGCTTGCAAGTCGTTCATAAACAAAGATTGTTAAAATCTTGTTTGTTACTTCACATCTACCAATCTGTAATGAATGCATAACTTTTAAAAGGAAAGAATCAAAGAATAATCTCATTACAATGCAAGCAATACTAGTCAAATAAAGCTGCTTAGAAATTAGCATTGTTCTTTCTACTTCAAAAATCTTCTGCAGCTCTTCAGGTTGGCAAGGGATTGTAAGGGGTCCTTTTTGTTGGAATCCATATTCCTCTTCAGCCTGCTCTAGTAAACTCAAGAATGCTGGGTTTACCAGAGAACTCAAGTTCAGGATAAACCTCTTAGGTTGTCCACCTTTGGCTGCAACTACTGCAAAATGCCCTTCCTTGACATCTTCTGGAACCACTCTTGCTGCCTCTCTCTCTTCATCAAACTGGACATCATTTTTCTCAGATCCTGTAGGCAATACTCTTTGTAGCTTTCTTGTAAAATACTTTTGGTTGCTGCATGCAGTTGGAAATGAGGAAATTTATGTAGTGGTGCTGTCAACTGAAGGAGAAACACTGGTGAAATCTCTGAGGAACAGTATGGGCCATTGCAAGTGGAACCAACCATGAACCATTTAGTGCAACCTTCCAAACTTCAAATCTCTTATTTCTTTGTGACTGGTGGGATCTTAAAATGCGGTGGACAGGAAATTGTTAGTTCTTTTATCTAATCTCCATGGAGTTGATGATCTGGTTTTAGTCTTGTTTTATTTACAAAGCCTAGTTGAACCTTGTGAGAAGTTACTACCAACCATCTTTAGATGGTCGTTTTCCTTTTGGATTATATTGTTGGTATCTTGAGTAGTTTGTGCTCATTAGATTTAAGTTCAATGTGTCCATCTAATAAAATGTACGTCATCTATGTTTGTATAAGGAAATCCATGAAAAATTACTTTCTGGCAACCTTCAGGAATCAAACCACTATTAGAGGCTTCCAAAGATGTAGGCATCAAGAAGCTTTTAAACTATAGAAAATCTGGAAGTTGAACAGTGCTTTCTAGTTCATGCCTTTGGCTCCACTGTAACTTATTGGAAGATAGATTTTATAATGTATGACGCCAGTGTCCAGTTTTGCCTGCATGGTACTCAGCAGTCAGTAGCAAAGAAATTCAACAAGACAACTAGCATTTCTCTGAAGGTTTCAGGTATTGCTGACATCCAGCAAAGAAATTTAATGAAAACTGCGTAAAAAAAATGGGGAAGAAGAAGATGGCATTTCCTGTTCCCCTCCCAGTCCAGATCAATTCAAGCATGGATAAGAGAAACAATAATGATCAAGCTTGGACAGTGACCGAGCCAGGTACGGTTCAGTATAACCGCGTAAATTAAATTTCAGTCTTATGTCTGATGGTTGGCATGCAAAATATATTTGTAAGTGAAATCCCTGGGACCAACTTGTAAGGTATCAACTCTTGATTTGATGTTCTTTCTTGCTTGTAAAATTGATACGTATCTATTCTGTAAAACCAATGTGTTTGGGAGCTACTAACTAAAGAGTAAAACATGAATAGCTTAGATTGCAAGTTGCATTTCTGAATTTCAAGCAGCATGCCAGAAATTAGTTCATTCACATCCTTAACAGTTCTTTAGCTTTTTTATTATGCAACATCTGATCCAGGTTTCCAGGACCAGAACTCATTTTCTTCATGTCTTTCAGAATCTTCTGGAACTCCACCTGTTGACAAGGGAGTTCCAGAACTCCCTTCTGCTTGAATTCATATTCTCCTCAGCCTGCTCCTGAAGCATCAACCTCAAGAATGCAGGGTCAACTATATACCCCAATTCAAGAATAAACCTCTGAGTTTCCTTGTCTTTAATTGCAAAAGCAGTAAAATGTCCTGGCACTATGGATGCAACTTCCTATTCTTCATCATAACTTCATAACTCACGGTAGTGTCTCCAGCGACCATCACGGCCTTTAAACCCTTTTTCAGTTTCTGGAAAAATAATCTGAGCTTCTCTTCCTGCTTTCCCTGTCTGTCATTTCTTCAGAATTTTTACCCTTTCTGAACAGACTGGCATGGAATTGATACCGGTCAGTGAAATTTCTATACATATCATTTAACATGTTAATGTCAATATCGAAAGGTCAATTCTGCCTTTTGTAGAACAGGTTTTAAGAATCTGGTATGGGGTTCATAACCTATGTTTGGTTCATTGTCTGAATTCCACTTTTTCTTTTTTTTTGGACAAATCAATAGACATTGTCTGAAATCTTACTTTCAATTAATTTGTCCTTCCGAACATAAAAAAACCAGTAAATTGTCCTTCCAAGAGTTAGATATTTTGGTAACTATTGCAGAGGTTTGAACCCTATTTTGTCTCCAAAATCAAGGTTCTAAAGTTAGTGGGCATCAAACCCGTTAAGCTTTTCTTGGCAATCCTTTTCTCATGTTCTGCGCTGAAACAAGTTAAAATGCGCATGCTTCTATCATTATTATCAGTACTTTTCAGGCTTCACAGGGAAGTAAAAGCTTTTGCAATAGTTTACACACCACAAACTCAATCACTAGCATTAAGATGAACCGAGATAGCTACACATAGAGCTAAACATAGAGAACAATGAACATATATAACCTATCTATAGAATCCTAGCTAGTGATATATAGAAACGTAAAAGAAGTCCTAGTGAAATTACTTCTTATGTCTTGAATGGTTCATGATTTCACATGGTGAGAATCTTTTGAAGCTCGTCTGGTTGACAAGGGATTCCAATTGCACCCTCTTGGGAAAATCCGAATTCTTCCTCAGCTTGCTTCAACAGTTTCAAGAACTCTGGATGATGGAGATAGCCTAACTTGATGAAAAACCTTTGTGGTTTCCTGCCTTGTGTTGCGATCACCACAAAGTGGCCGTTCCTGACCCTAACCCTCCTGGTGAGTGATAGAATTGCTTGCAGCTTCTCTGCCATGAACCTCAGCATTCCAAGGCTTCCCTTCTCTAGCACCTCAAAGCATTTAGCATTACGCATGGTGAAGCTTGCTCAAACTTATACCACAATTTCTATGCGGTTGTACATGTATACTTATATGTGCATTTATTGCCTGAGTAAGGTGGCAGATATAGAGAGAGAGAGAGAGAGAAAGAGAGAGAGAGAGAGAAAGAGAGGAGGATGGAGGGACCTTTGCACAGCATGTGGTGCTTCATTAATCAACCGGTCTGGTCCATTTTAGTTGCATAAGCATTTTTGGTGAAAATTAGTAGTGTGTCTTTGATGTTGCACTTTCTATTACCGGCCCAAAGAAGCAAGCTGCGAACAGTACCTCACTGATTAAACAGGCATTGATCGTCCTGAATCAACTCCTGGCTTTCAGCAATCAGCATCTGAGTTTTCTAGTTGCCTTGTAGCTCTACTGACCATCCTCTGGTTTCTAATGATACAGTGAGAAAGAAAAGGTTAATCCAGATCTTGAAAATACCAGGTAAACATAACATATAGTTCATTGAAAATGAAAATCGAATTCTGAAAACTTGGAACAGATAACATGATTATGTTGGGACCCAAGCTACCGAGCATGTGAGGCCTACTACCCTCAAGCACATGGAACAAAACATGCTCTACCGTTGTAGGGAGCTTCAAAGAAGGAAAGAGCAGTACAGAGTGAAAGGTTTATAATACACTTAATTAAATTAAGAATTATAAACAAATTATTAATCTATATGACACAAATATATTCATGTAAAAATTAGGAAAATTTACAGAGATTTCACATGTGCAAAATCCTTCAAAATTCACACGCGATGCCTTAATTCTGTCTCTTAAAGAAGTTATGGCTTCTCCTCCCACTAGTTTCTGTTTTTCTTATAAAAACTTAGATATCATATTGACAAATCAATAGGTATTATATATACGGAGCTTGTATAGTTAGACTAGAATCACAAACAGCATGTTGTGTGGGATTCTTTTTAATTTTAATCTCTTGGTAAATTGAATTTAAATCAATTTAGGATTATAATAAAAAATCCATCAGTAGATAACAATTTTTTCCAAGAAATTACGAATAAAATTATGAGATCCCTCAAACCACAACAATTACATAATAGTCCTCCATCAACTAATATTCCATACAAAGTTTAATCGAATTAGAACTCTTATAAAACTGTCATTTAAAATTTATTCTTGTATTTCTTAAATATATTTAGACAATAAAAACAATTTAGAAAATAAAATTTTGATAAAATTTAATTTTTTAAAACTAAATTAAAATATTTTTTTAAATTGACTTGCCATATTTTTTTCTAATATAAAAAAGACACAAACTTAAATATTCTTTTTTACAATAAGAGTTGTGGTTCTTTATTAGATGACTATAAATCTCCGTGTACTTATTATATAGTTCAATATATTCGTGTATATCTCATTTATTGAGCATCACTGGTTGACAATATCAAAACTAAATAATTTGTACATAAGATTAAATAACATTTTCAGATCTAAAAACCTGTTATGAATTGTTGATAGAATAATCTTTTAGTTGACAGTAATTAACTTAAAATTATTTTATATGATCCAGTTTAATATTTATCTTGTACAAATACTCACTATGTTAATAAAAGTCTTACTCTACTAATTAAAATTTATCATTTTATCACTTATAGTAGTATAACTAGTATAACACGTGGCAACTAAATTAAGCATATTGTCCAAAGTATGCTTATGGCTGTGAACAATTTTAAAATTATCAAATCTTTTTATTTGGTCATCCCAGTAATTAATATGATTAATGTATGATTTAAAAATAATAATATTTATTAAATCATTCAAAATAAATATACATATAAATAATAATGATGGCTTTATAAGGCATACAGTTCTTTTCGTAGAGTACAACATTAGCAGAGTTTTGACGTTTGACATACCTGACATTACATCACATCATACCTAAATCTTGTTTAAGTAAATTCATCCATATTTTTCGCCTGACCAAACCTCTCTTTGCATCTTACATAATACATATTATTATTATTATTATTATTGCAATTAACACCTTCAAAAAATTTTATTTTTAACAACACCCTCTATAATTTAAAACTTATAGAAAACTCAAAAATTAATTGTAAAACCCCCTATTTGTATATTGATTCCATTGATAATTTGAGGTTTTTTATGATTTTAAATTATGAAAATGATTAATCGAAAATAAAAATTATATGTATAGTATAAATAGAGAGTTTGAATTTTTAAATTTTATTTAATTTGTTTTCTAGCATCTAGTAATTAGGGAATGAACATTCTCAATTAGTAATACTTACAAGATATTCATAATGCAGCAGAGATAAGGAACTCTCTCAGGATATAGGCTACTATCAGTTACAAATTCACTCGTTTCTATACAATATCATTCAAGGCAAGGCTACAGCTCTGGCGATAATAAGCAATGCAGGATACTTGAGGCTGACTCTACAGGCTACATATACCACTTGCAAATTTTTCCATTTCTCTTTTTCTGTTCCACAAGTCACAAGACTAAAAAGCTAAAACCTTTTAATACAATCTAAAACAATAAATGATCATCGCACTTGCATCCCTATCACTCAAGGGTCAATTGAACAAGAAGAAAGAAAGCCAAATGCATGTCTTTGTACATTAGAGGAAACTGTCCTGTGAGGAAACTGTCCTGTGAGGAATCTCATTTGCAAATGAGAGATCATGAGCAACAAATCCATGTGACTGCATGTCAAATGATAATGCCATGTGATGAACTAACTTTCAGTTAGGTAGGCTGAAAGGTAACAAACATATATCAAGTCATTTTCCATTTCCGGTTGTTAGTTCGCACTCAGCGACTACTAAGACTAAAAGGCAAAAAATCAAACAGAACCCATTTAACTTGAAAAGGAATTGTCATATCTCATGCTCAAAAAGCCATCCAGGTTGTCCCCTATGAGTGTCCGAGTGGTTAGAAGTTTAAATCTTCACAGATCAATTTTAAATCTTGAGAAAGGTGGGAAGGGCTTGGGGAGGGCCTGTTGTATATAGTCCATCATCTGTTATATCCAAAAAAAAAAAAAAAATCAGGTCATGTTATTTAACAGGATTATAAGCATTGTATAACCACATAATCTTCATTTTGTTCCTTAATTAGAAGAAGACTGTACATACTGTGATAGAAAGCAGACAATAATCTCTTTGGGTGTGGGGTTTTCAGACTGTTGGTTTCCGCTCAATCCGGTGCCAGGATCATCATTGGAAGGGAAAACTTCAAGGCCAATAACCATGGCATCAGGTGGACCACGGCTGTATCTCTGTTCCGTCTCCTGTACTGCTGCATCAGGGCTCCCCAGAGAAAAGAGCTTCCACACTACCATCCCTTCTGTTCCTGATCCAACCCTTCAACTCCAGTTGTGTAGCATTCTCCACAGTCCAGTTCCTGTAGAAGACACCATGAGCCCTCCCCTTTATCACAACCCGCACCTGCAGCACCACAACACACAACCTACCACTATTCAACATAATAAATTAATTTAGAGACATTAATTACTTGCACTGAATTGAATCATTCAGAAGAACAACCAAAACCCATTATCCAAAATGTAAATCCTGCATCATAAATTCAGTGAAAGAAACACGAAAACCTAACTTCCAAAATCATAAAACCCTATGCTATTAAATTGAAAAGGGAAAACTCAAAATTGAGGTAATTCATCCAACAAACATTCAAGACCCTTCATCGATGACACCCGATAATCCTAAACAGAGATTAATCAACAATGTTACTAAAAATAAACTGTCAATTGAATCCAGGGGTTTGTAAAATGAATCATTATTTGGATTCTATTTAGACTAAGTAATCAAGATTCAAACTTTAATCCTAAAAAGCAAACGCCATCAGGAAATATTACAAAAATGCTAAAAAATGGAGAGATGGACACTCATCGTTTTGGTTGGAGAAGCCTGAGATGAGTCACTGGCAGCTTTAGGAGTGGTCATTGAGGACATAGAAAGAGAGCAAAGAGAATGTGAACGAGGTCGGAACAGAGAAGGAAGAGGAGGAGGAGGGAGAAGAAGATGAGGGCGAAGCTAAAGAGGAAAATGAAGAGGAGCAGAGTGATAATTAGAGAGAATGGAGAACCTACAAGCAGGAAGACTACATCCATTGTTGAGCCATTTGCCTAGAATCTTCTTCTTCCTCCGAGAAAGCTTGAATTCGGTGCTTCTCGGGATCACTGATTAATGGCCGTAGCGACATTGCTGACGCCATTGGATCCTTTTAGTTTTGAAAGTTATGGTCTTATAAATAACTGGAGATCAGAATCAGGTTCTGTTCACAGGGACTGGAAGAAACAGAACAGAGTTCTAGAATTCTAAAAAATTAAATTTTCTTAACAAAATGAAGTATTTTAGTATTTTATGGACCAGACTACAAACAAATACTATGGAGTTGAGAGGGTCTACCCCCATTTCATGGTTAATTTTGAATTGTCCATGCAGATTCACCCCATAAGAATGTTGTTTAAGTGTCAAGCCCCTCTAATAAGGCAACATGGACCGCAGAGTTTTGACACAATTGAGCTGTTTTTTAATTTGAAGAGGCTAAATTTGTAGTTAATGCCAGCTGAAAAACACTCTTTATATTATTCAACGAACAAAATAAGTTAATTTTCTCATGAAAAGCAAGAAATGTAGGGAGATATCGTTTTGGTGGCGTGGTTATGATCAGTAGGAAAATTGGAAGTAGCTTGAGGAGGTCAGTCATAAGTATGGAAGATCCAGAACAATGTAAACCAGATCCGAACAAAGAGCAAATAGAAGGACCAGGAAGAAGAATGCAAAAGATACTGGAAAGCAAGATGAAGAACGGCATGAAAGCTACAATGGTCTGGAAGAAGAAGAAGATGGGAGAGTCTGATATCATTTCTTGCCCTCTTTCCTTTTGTCAATCCAAATCTACATAAAAAACAGGAGGCTTCAGGCTTCCATGGCTGAATTTTAAGAAGGTAGAAAATTTTACAATGTCCTTGATGAGGTTTCTACGATGATCATTATCTCAGTCTATCCTTTTATTTTACCTGGAAGGACCAGAGAATTGTTTCGAGGGAATTCATTTTTGAATCTTTTGGGGGGTTTCTTGAACAGCCAGTGAAATGCTGAACATGTAGTCATGCATCGTCTTTTCGTTTGAAGCAAATGTTTTGTTTTTGTGAAAAATGAGGCATGAAATTAAAACAAAATAAAAAACACAACACTCATTACATAGAAAAGGAACCTCCATCGCATCAGTGTTTAGATACATGTCAAAACGCTCAGGGCAATACTCAAAAGACACAAAATCCTGATAATAATATCCCCTAGCAGCTAATCGATGGCAAAATCCTACTTTTAGTCCTTTACTTTGTCAAGTTTAAAAGTTTTAGCCTCTTACTTTATCTTATGATATTTTTAACTTCTCACCTTATTAGATTTATAGGTTTTTATATTATGATACTTTTAATTCCTCACCTATTAAAATTGATGAAAATAATCATCATTTTGTAACATTTTGTTAGTTCTATTAACTAACTATCAATTCAATTAATTGACTGTTAGTTAAATATTAATTGTTAAAAATCTTCTTTTAACTAATAGAGTTAATAAAATTAATTTTATAATATTTCGTTAATTCTGTTACTTGGTTATTAATTAACTGTTAATTGATAAGAATCTATTTCCAGTTAATAGAGTTAACCGTGAATATAAAGTGAGGGCTATTTTTTTCGATTTTAATAGGTGAAGGGTTAAAACCTATAAATCTAGTAATATTAAGGGTTAAAAGTATCGTAATATAAGGTAAGAAATTAAAATTTTCAAACTTGATAAAGTGAGAAATTAAAAGTAGGTTTTTGCCCTAATCGATGGACACACATGTTGACCTCCCTATATATGTATTGATAATAAATTTAAGAAAATTGAACCAATAATTTTTTAGTATCTAAAATCATAGTAAAATTAATTTCAACAAGACATATGTTGAATATTAAGACTCTGAGCCGGTAACAACCCGTCACGCAATCCCCAAAACGTTTTTTTTTTTTTATATATATATATAAATAAAGAAAAATGTTTGCTGGCTCTTGTTAAACAAAAAAATGTAGCTGAAGGACTAATTAGAAATATCTGAAAGACTTAAGGTACCACCTAAGGAATTTAACCTTAAATACATTTTTGACCTTGGACTGGGTTTTTCTTTTTTTTTTGGTCGTGGACTGGGTTTCAATGTATGTGCATTGTGCACGCAGGGCCCGAATTGGGATACAGCCCAATTTGTGCCGCAACAACTGTTTTCGTTATGGACCTAACCGTGTTTTTATTATTAAAGCCCAATTTGGAAAGGCGGCTGGCTGTGGCATGCGGCGCAATTTCAACATGTGAAAACGAAAGGCATTTCTCAACTAGTTGGTTTATGGCCTAACGCTTATCCAATTCAATTCAGGGTGTTTAACATTACCATAAGGTTAGGTCAAGGACAATGAAACACACGTGAGTAGTAGTTTTCAAGCTCCATTTTTTAAATTATAGTCAAAATTGTACAATACTTTTTCTAAAAATAGTTTGAAAAAGGAAAAAAAAACGAGAAAATTGAAATTAATGAGGATTACAAGGACGTTTTTAAATAACAACCTTTTTTTTTTTTGAATATTCTCTGCAGAAAAATTTAAGCAAAAGAGTTAGGTATCAAGATTATTACAAATTAAAGGTTTAATGTTAAATTTGGTTTCTAAACCTTACCTTAATACATTAAGTTGTGCCCTTAGTATTAAATGATTTAAGTTATATAATTTAAATTGATATTGCATAAAACATTTTTTAATTTGAAATAAATAAAAAGGTGAAATGTAGTAAGACAATACAGATTATATTTCACTTAATTGTTTATAAAAGATACATATATTTTAATATTAAAAAACCACCCTTTATTAATAATTAATTATTTTATTTTATAATCCACCCAAATGCAAAATACCATAAGGTAAAATAAATAAATAAATATAAAGTCTTAAAAAATGTACAAATAAAAATTTTATATTATAATCTTGATTAAAAGAAAAATATCACAATTGTCAATTACAGATTTGAATTTGAGCATTTTTGAAAATGAAAGGGGGAGGAAGGAAAAAAGAAAAAAAAACCAATAAAAAGACAAGAGAAAGACGTGTAAATAAAAAAAAAAAGGAGAAAAAAGCTCATCCGTGACGTGCAAATTCAAACTCAGACACGACGCCAATACGTGGTTGACGTGGAGCGGGACCCACGATTGTCCTTTCCATGTGGTGGCTAACGTCAATTTCTTTCTTTCTTTTTTTTTTTAAAGAAAATAATTTTGAAATAATTTATTATTATTTTTTATAATTTTACATGTTATTTAAATGATTAATTATTTTTATTTATTTAAATTTATAATATTAAATATATCTATTTATTTAATAATAAGTAAAAATTATATAAAAAATAAAATAAAAAATTATTTCTATATGATTTTCCTTTTTTAAAATTAATTTTGGAGTGAAAAAGGGGTGATTATGTATGATTAAAAAATTTCCCTATTTATTTAATAATAAGTAAAAATTATATAAAAAATTAAATAAAAAAATTATTTCTATATGATTTCCCTTTTTTAAAATTAATTTTGGAGTGAAAAAGGGGTGATTATGTATGATTAAAAAATTTCCCACATAAAACAGGTTCCAAATCCAACCAATCCATGGTGGTCATGACTCATAATCATGTACATGACATGGCTTGGCCATGGATGATATGTATGTATGTTTAATGGGCCAAGATCTAGATTGGGTTTGTTGTAGAAGGGCCCAGCATTAGGGGTTGGGTCTTAGTCGGAGCTGAGTCAGAATTGGGCCCACAGTCATGACTCGCCTTCCACGTCTTCATTGTGACTTGGCGTTACTGATGGTGACAAATTCCATTCTCCACTAATAAACTTCATCATGTCCTATCTATATTGCTAAATTAGGCTACAAAAGTCCTGAACAAACCTACCCATCTCAATCTCGTCTTAAATGACTCCATAGTGTCATCACTTGAGGAGGCCACCCTTTTAAAATCAGCCATTTTCCCAACATTTTCTTAGTTTGATGCATAGGCTACATATCAACATGTAAAAACAATGAGTAAGCAGCATTGTAGTTAGCATTTCATCCATGAAAAATGAAATTGCCCTACTGTGAATCTATAGGACAACAAGCACTTTAAGCACTCAAGCATTTATAATCAATATACTTTCAAGGGCATCAACAATATTTTCTTATCTAAGACAAGTAAAACATGACATTTTCCTCCCATAAATAGTTGGGTTCCACGTACACCTACCTATGCCTTGTTTGATTTATTGTTTGAGTTTGATAATTCAGGAACATGTTTTTGTTACCGCTAGTCAAAGTCTAACAATCGTGGGTGGCATCAATCAAGATTTAAAGTTAAAGTGACAAATTCTTCTAATGATACAATTGGTATTAAATTTTTTTATACATTATATGATAAATTATATAATGAGTAATGGTCATTTCATTTTCTTAATACTAAATTTTTCACTAAAACTAAAAATTTGAATTCAAAATCTCTAATTTAAAATTTTAACTAATTAATACACCCTAAAAAGTATAATGAATCCGTTAACATGATACATGTGTCATTGTCTTGATTTCCATCATGATACATGTCCTCAATTAGTACTATTGTTAATCAAAAAATATTATAACTTATCACATTAAGTTCATGACTCGAGAGAAAAGATAGAATGCCTTAATTTGATAAGATAAAGTAGATTAAAGGTATATTTGTGAGTTCGTGGTCAAATTGAGATTTTGTTCAGTAAAGAACATTTATTTTTTAACATGAAAGACGTAGAAACTAGAAAGGCGCACGGGGGAGGGTGGCAAAAATGGGCATCCGTTGGCGCCGCCGTGACGAAGATAAAACTAAATTAACGACCTTAATACTATATTACAGTCACATTAACATAAAATATTATAAATTTTGCCGAAGCTACTGGTTTTTGGCAGCACATATTAATGTTTAGCGCGCGGTTTCTGCTTACGATTTTAGAAGCTTCTTATATTATAGTATTGTTAAATTTAATCTTTCAAATGCAAATGGTTACCCCTTGATTCGATTATTAAGAACTAATTAAATAGTAGTGTAACTCTCCTAAATAATTTAATGGTAATACTTTTCTAGTGAAAATAAAAGTTTTAAATTTAAGTTGCATGGTATGGTATATATAAGTAGTAAGTTAAGAAATAATGAAAGTTATGTTTGATAATACAATCCAAATTTTTTTTTTAAAAAAAAAACTAAAATAGTAGAAATAGAAATTAGGATATAATCAGTATGTCTTACAATATCACTAATTTTTATCATATATTTTGTCAATTCAACCATCGCTGAAAGGGAAATGCTCAGAGTGTAGCTAACAGTCAGGCCAGCATTGATCTGAGTGGCATCTTTATCTAAAACAAATATTGTTTTTGAACCTAAAATGAGAAAAGAAATACTGTGCTTTGAAAATATAAAAATAACAATAAAATTACTCTTTTCATCT